AAACATACTTGGTAGTAGACCTTCTTTTGTCCTAGTCACTTGCAAATCTGTATCAACATAATCGACTTTCAAATCCATTCCACTGTAACAAATACCAGCATTGCAAGTTCCCTTCAAAGATTGAAAGATCCACTTCACAGCAGTCCAGTGTTCATGGCCAGGATTTACCATATATATGGACACAACTCCCGCTGCTGGTGCTGTTTTGGTTTTGGTGCTAATCATAGCAACCATGAGGCTTCCTACAACTGATGAATATGGCACTCGAGACATATGTGTCTTCGCTGCTTCAGTGCTAGGATATTGTTTTAAAGACAATGTCATATGCACAAGACATGGGATACTAACTGGTTTGGCATTTGGCCTATTGAAGCGTCGCAGGACCCGCTCCGCATAACTCTTCTAAGTTAACTAGATTTTCCTATTTTTTCTGTCTCTAAGTACACTCATCCCAAGAATTCGATTAATGACTCTCAAATCTTTCATCTCAAATTCCCTAGGCAACTGAGTTTTAACTGTTGCAATAGTCTATTTATTTAGTCATACAACAATCATGTCATCGACATATAATAATACGATAATAAAGCTTCCATCATCATAACCACGAAAATAAGCACAATGGTCAGCTTCACATCTACGAAAATTCAAACTCAACATGAAAGAGTCAAATCGTTTGTATTAACACCTCAACGCTTGTTTCAACACATACAACGATTTCTTGAGCCTACAAACCAAATTCACTTTACCTTCCTCAATAAAACCCTCAAGTTGGATCATATAAATTTCTTCTTTTTAGTCACTATGCAAAAATGCAGTTTTCACACTAATTCTTCCAACTCTAAATCAAGAATAGCAGCCATAGCCAAAATAACTTTAATAGTAGACATGCACACAATAGGAAAAAGGATCTCATCAAAATCAATACCTGATTTTTGAAAATAACATTTCACAACCAATCGAGTTTTGTTCCTTTCAACAGTATCATCAAGACCTTTCTTCTTCTTGAAGACCTACTTGCAACCAATTGTCGTTTGCTTTTCTGGTAATTCGACGATGTCTCATGTTTTATTTTTTCGCAGGGTCTCCATCTCTTCTTCTATGGATGCTCTCCATTGACTGGCTTCCTTGACCTCACATGCCTCACGATAAGAAATTGGCTCACCCTCCTTTGTTAGACAAGTATAGGACAAGACATAATCGTTAAGCCTCGCAGGAACCTTTTTAGGTCTATCAAATCTTCTTAATTTAACACCACCTAAATATTTTTCGAGCTTTTGGACAATATTGGGTTCTTGGTCCTGATCACTATCTTGTTGGTTCTCATTGGTGCATTCCACTTCAACAGTTTTTGCATCTAGCTCATGTTTATTTTTTTATATAGAATTTTTATTGAAAATAACATCTCTGCTAACTATAATCTTGTGGTCAGTTGGATCCCACAATCTGTACCGCTTTGTACTATCAACATAGCCACAAGAAAAAACATACTTTTTGGATTTTGTGTCTAACATAGTTCTTTTCTCCTTTGGAATCAAAGAATATGCATCACATCCATAAACACGAAGGAAAGAATAATGATGTGGTTTTCATGTCCAATTTGTACCTCTTCTGGTGTCTTGTAGTCAATAGTAGAACTTAGAGACGTATTAATTAGGAAACAAGCTCTAAGAACTGCTTCTGCCCAAAAACACTGGTCTAATCATGTAGCACTCAACATACACCTGACATGCTCCATAATGGTACTTCATCGTCTCAGCAACACCTAACTTTCTTTTTGCAACTACTAATGCTCCCTTTGAATTTTCAAGCATCTATTTTCACCAGTAAATTTGAAATCTTGCTTATCAAATTTTCTCAAAGACAAGAGACTCCTTCTGAGACCTGGAACATGTCTACAATAGGGATTGTGCATATGACTCCATTGAACATCTTGATTCTCACATCTCCAACTCTCACTATTTTACATGAGTCATTATTTCCCATGTAAACAATACCTTCATCACATGATTTGTATTTATAGAATCAATTCCTATGTGGAGTCATGTAAAAGGATGCACTTGAATCAAATAGCCAATACTGCAAAACTTCCTCCATATCCACAAACAAATCTTATTCATCTTCAGAAAACTCAATTTCTTCTACTAGATTTCCTTGATATGCATTTGAACTAAGCTTCTCATTAGAACCAGATTTAGGGGCTTCCTGGTTCTCTTTTTGTGCCTCACAATCTTTCTTCACATGGGCTAATTTTCCACGGCTCCAACACTTCACTTTCTTACGCCCTCTTGATTTGGATCTTGTCTGATGTCTGCCTATAGTTCTCTTTGTTGATCTTCGTCATGCTACAAACACATTCCCAGAGGAAATCCTGACCAGACTTTCGTCTAGACTCCTCCTCTATCTAAGTGCTGAAACAATGGAATCAAATTAAAGAGACTTCACTAAAGAGATTTCGTACTATTGAGATTCATGATCAGTTTACCCATGATTCCGATATAAAACAAAATTAATATAGTTGCTTTATCTTTTTCATCAATTTTTACCTCTAGTGACATTAACTTGCTAATCAAGGCATTAAACTCATTCAAGTGGCCTTGCAAAGATACACTATCACTCATCTTAATATTGTAAAGTTTCCAACGAAGGAAATTTTATTAGGAAGAGACTTACTGAGACTTACTTTCATAAGTATTTTTTAGCCTATCCCATAAACATTGAATAAAACAGACTCATCAAGCGTCAAGAAAATATTTGTCCTGGCCAATTCATCATTCTCATCAAATTCCTCATCATCTATATTTTCAGGTTTATTTTCTCTGTCTTTTAAAGCCACTACACACCCATCTTTCACCAACACCGCATGCATCTTTAATTTTCAGGTTTAGAAATCCGAACCGTGAAATTTTGAAATTTTATATGTTAAATTTCCTCCAGCCATCTTCAAAGATATGCAATCTACAAGAAACCTTATGCCCAACAAGAATCTTAAAACCTAACGCTTTGATACCAATTGTAGAGGATAAAAACCAAGGTTTGAGAAAAATAAAGAAAAGAAAAATAATGCAGAAAAATAAAAAAGGCGAGACACAAAGATTGATGTGGTTCAGTAAGTTGCCTAAGTCCACACGGTAACAAAGTTTTGTTCCACCAATAAAAAAAAACACCATGCCAACATGGAGAAAAAGGTTTTTCAAGCTCTCTCTAAAGCGCTAAAACATAGTCTTTCTCTTTCTAGAACACCCACACAAGGACTTTAGAACTAATCCTTTATCTCTTGCACTCTATAATTTTCTCTCTACAAAACTCTTTTGTTAAGAGGAAAACCCAATAGCTATTCAAGTGAGGAGTCTCTCTTCCTTTCTTTTAGAAATGAGAAAGCTTCTCTCCATAATTACCAAATGAAAAAAGAAAAATCTTCTCTCCATAAATTCATATAGAGATTATTTTCCACACCTAAAAGATTCTCATCCCACAAAATATGGATTTATTCATAAGATAAGGAAACAACCCAACACAAGATCACGTGATTTCCTTAAAAGAAGGAAATATGGCTTCACCTTTCTAACAACATATAGGTGCACACAGACATGCATAGATGCAATTTAACATATTAGCAAAATGCTGTTTAAAATGTGATTTTTGCAGAAATACTCCATTTTTTTTTTCTCAAAAAAAATTGAAAGGCATGTTTTTCCAAATAACTTTAAAAAAACTTTGGTTTTTTTTTAGAAAACAGAATATCAATTTTCAGAATCTTTTAAAGAAAAAACTTTTAAGAAGCGCCTTAAAATTATTTTTCTTAGTTGTTTTGTCAAATTGGGATCGAGTGTATCTTCCTTTGAGCATCAACAAGGTATTCGTATTGGTTCAGTAGTTGATTGATTACTTACATTGTGAACTGTATTTATTTATTTTTTCCCTTAAAATGTTTATATAATTATGCATCATCCCTCCACTTATACACTGGTACTCACTTATATCCACCCACTTTTTTGCTTCACATTTTTTGAGTCAAATCCGAATCAATTAAGTCTTTTTTACTTAACGATTTTATGGCACTCCACTTTCTTCGACCCTTTTTTTTCCTCTCACTTTATTTTGGATCAAAACTGAATTAGTACTCACTTTTCTGATCACTGATATATTGCTGATGCATGAATTGCTAACTGTAGTTACAGTGCACCTAATGGGGAAAAAGAGAAAACAAAAGCACTTTATTTCACAAAAAAACAGTATACTGCCAATCATCAGCAACCAAAAACTGAAGGATTTTTCTTCAAATTTGGATAATGAAACAACAATTTGGCTGGTGCAATCGTCAAAAGCCAAATTGTGAAAGTATGATGATCTCATTGAAAAGTATAAAATAGTGTTTTCTCACCATCTGTTAGTGGGGCACATTTTTAAATGATTCAGTCTTTATGGCTATCAGTCCTTTTAATGTGTTTCTATCATGGGCCACCATTAGGTCATGTGACTCTCCCATTAACACTAGACCAGCTATGGGGCCGAAAGGAATCATGTCTTCCCACTGCCCTCAAGCACCTTGGTGTTAGTCTGGACTCTTAGGGTTCTGTCTCCTCCTCCATTGAGTCTCTCACCATAGGTTACAAGTTCAAATCCCATGAGCTCTCTCTCTCTTTCTCTTTAGAGAGAGAAAGGACTCTATCTAGAGAGGGGGAGTCCATCCACGTTATCCATAGAACGAAAAAGAAAATTCCAAAAAAGAATGGTGTTCCCCACTAGCTCACGCATGCACCTCCATCTATTCTTTATGTTTCAAAACACCTGATGGCACAAATTATTTCCTCTTTTGGTATAGAGTTGCAGGGTGTTTAACTCTTTATGCCTCTCCATTATCAGTTTTCTCTCTCTAGATTACCTCTTCTGTTTCGTAACACCTGATAATATCAATGGTTTCCACTTTTGGAAAGGATTTTTTGCCTGGGGTATTAGCACTGATGTTTCTTCATTCTCTCTCTGTCATGCATTGATCAAAGGTTTCGGGTGAGTACGCAATGATCAAAGCCGCCGCAGCTCGGAACATGCTTGATGAGGAAAAGGCGATGATGGAGTCCCTCCTCTGTATCAAACGAGCCGGGGCTAATGCGATTCTCACTTACTTTGCTGTACAAGCTGCAAGGCATTTATGTGGAGAGAAGTGAATGAACTTTAAGCTTAAGAGTAAAAGACAGAGAGAGAGAGGGAGAGAGAGAAATTGCAGTCTGTTGTAACACCGTTGTAACGTAGCATGGCAATGAATAAAATTTTCAGGCTTGAAATTGTAATACTCATAATTCAAAATCCCCTCAATAGCGGTTGATCTCGGGGTTCATACAAGAGTACAATCACAGGTTTACAGACTACAGTCAGTCTGATCAAATGGGGATATGCTACATGTGACTACACGTACAGCGCCTGTGGTAAACTATCTAAAAATAGCTCATTTGAACACCATGGTTCTTTTTATTGAAGCTTTTTATGAGAGAGGGATGTTTCGTTGCAACTGAGAATTATGACGGGTAGGGATAATATGAGAGACAAGCGGGTTTTTTGATGGGGGGTGCGTGTGCTGTTGTATCAAAGGACTGATATATGGAAAGAGAGAGAGAGATCTGTTGCATCGATGGACTTGATACTTGGAGAGGGAGGAAGAAAGAGATGTCAATGGAGCGGATCTATGGATGAGGCGATGGATGATGACTGGCATGCGGCTTCGGCTTTGAGGTGAGCTGTGTTGCAGGAGACCTCTTCAAAGTCACGTAAGAGGGAGAAAGCACTCAATGGCAAGGGCACCACCCCAACCCCTGGTTGTTGAACACACTCCCCACCCTTCTCTCTCATGTTCTCGAGCATTCTCCTTAGATCTGTTACCTCGGCCCTCAAACTCTCATTCTCTATCATCACCTTCTCATGGTGCTCTGATGTCACATTGAGCTTCTCAATGAGCTGCCTGTTCTCAGAACGGAGGCGGAGCACTGTAGTCCACAGCTCATCAAGGTGCCTCTGTTTGCGCATTCGGGAGCGTCGAGCTGATTCACGGTTCGAGAGCATGCGCCGGCGGCGCCGCTCATCTTGTTGGCGCTCCTCAGAGGCCTCGTCAGAACCAGAGTTGCTCATGCAAAGGCTTTGCATGGGGTTGGGATAGTGGAGTGTGGGCAAGCCACAGTTGTTCATGATAGGGAATGGTGATAGTTGGGGGTCGAGGGCATACATGGGTTCCGAGAAGTGTGCTGCAAGGGCACTCCCTGGATGCATTTTTGTGAGTTCGGTGGAATTGTGGGTATTTTTTTCTTTCACAGAAAAAAAAAATGGTGTCTCAGAGAGAGAGAGAGAGAGAGAGAGGAGAAGATGAGGAAGAGAGGGCTGTGTGTTGAAGAGAAGGAAAGGCTCAAAAGGATGGAGTTTATATAGGAATGGGAGGGTTGGAGAGGAGAAGGGGGCCCTTGCTTTGATAAAGTGGAACAGTGCCACAGTTCCTTAAAGTGCAGACAATAGACTATCCATGGACAAATTTTTGCTCATTCCAGAAGCTCTTCCTCTTCCTACAGTTTCATGTAGTGGCAGATTTTCAATATAAATCAAAGAACGAAAGAAAGATCAGAAGTGGATTCAACTATTAAAATGCCACATAATTCTATCTACATTATCACAGATTTCTCTTTCAAAAAGCCATAAATTTATAATAACCTACGTGGAAAAAGTTTATATAAGTTGTCAACCTTATATTATTGTGTACCTCAAAAATTCTTTAGAAGAGAACGTTCTGATATTGGAAAATTCTCCAATTTATCATCTCGACCTATAGAGATGTATAAATATGGGGGGAGGGGGGGTGCGAGAAATTTACATTTGTTGAAAATAAGAAATGCGGATTTTTTACCCTCATGGAGCAACAAATATCTCAAAAAAATTGAGAAATACGGATTTTCATTTGCACTCGTCTTTTTTATTTGCCAGTTTTTAAAATTAGATCAATATGGAATTTTGAGATATGCATGCCTCATCTGGGCACAGCGATGAGATTATTATTATTTTTTGTAAAAAAAGTAATTTGTTAAAATAACCAAAATACCCTTAAAGTTTAGAGAGGACTTTTTGGTTACTTAAATAGGACGTCCAAAATTTCAGCTCCATTTGATATATATATATATATATATATATAAAAGGTGCTGTTTCTATAAGGTTGCAACCGTAAACAATCCAATTAAGACGCACCTCAAAATTTTATCGTAACATATAATTTTGTTGTAAAAAATTCTTAGTATTATCTTAAAAGCTATTTTCATACCTAATTAGAAAATTTTAAATTCTAAAAATGGTCAAAGTCAAGTAGATCTATAAATATATGAAAATCTTGAAAATGGATGGTCCAGATAATGTGTTGCAAGATGCACTATTTTCGAGATTCAAAAACCTTTTTTTTTCATATTCATAGATCTCCAAATGATTTATTAGAAGGCTTTTTCAACATTAAAACAACAATTCCGATAGATTTTTGAGGTGCATATGTTATTCTACATTTTAAGGTTGCAACCTTAAATAAACTTTTCCCATAAAAGAATTAATTGAGATTATTCAAACATACTCTCAACTATCTAATCGTGATAAGATGGTTAAGATCAACAATGAACTATAGTATTTTTACGTAGTTTAAACCGTCTATTTGTTAGACCTAACATGGATGAGCTATAATTTCGAAATCTCATTTATTTAACAAATACCACCTTTCCATCAATAAAGATTTCAATAAACAGTTAAAAGGCTAATTTCCAGATCTATAGATTTGCATAATTCCAGGTAAAACCAAACACAGTTTTTCAGAACCTCAGAAATTTGAGACATGTAGTGGCATCTCTCTTACCAGTTGCTCATAGTTCCAACTTTCAAATTCCGAAAATCGAAACTTTAAATTTTCATTGGAACTCCTAGTTGCCAAACAGCCACTCAATATTTTATCTGTTTCCAAAATGTCTTTGTCAAAAGTAATTGTTGGTTTATCATATATGAAGAAGAAATGTCATGTTTGTGCACGTTATGTGCTTTCCTTAATTTTTCTTGGGTCATTTTCATTGTGGTCACTTAAGAAACAGATGTAAGACTATATCACACTGGGCCCAAATTAGAGAGAGAGAGAGATGCACAATCAGAAGAGAGAGAGAGAGATGCACAAGCAGGAGAGAGAGAGAGATGCAGAATCAGAAGAGAGAGAGAGAGAGTTAGAGAGAGATGTGCAGAATCAGAAGAGAGAGAGATGCACAATCATAGAGTGGGAGAGAGAGAGACAGGCATCCCCACAATTTTATTTGATGTTGAATCCGAATTACCCGTTCTTTGGAAGGGTCGGGTAATGGGGGTGCAAGGAGCCAATTGCTTTGGTGATGTGTAGTATAACTTTCATGGAGTGCTGATTGAAATAGGCCTAGAAAGAGAGTCTAGAGAGAGATGAAAGTGGCTGAGAGAGCCTAGAGAGAGATGAAAGTGGCTGAGAGAGCCTATAGAGAGATGAAAGTGGCTGAGATAGCCTATAGAGAGATGGAAGTGGATCAGGGAGCCTAGAGAGAGGGCCTAGAGAGAGAATTTTAGTTTCTTAAAAAAAAAGGAAAATGATTTGATAGGAAGATGATTTGATAGGGTTGCATCACTATTAAAATTGGTAAAGCCTCACCTCATAATTCATCGAAATTTCTAATTCAAGTATTAAAAAACCTTAAGGTTGTTAAAGAAAAAAAAAAAAAAAGATTTCAAGCTTTAAATACTGTAACAAATTATCTAGATAATCCATTTTACCATAAAAAAAAATATTCATTGATCCGTAAGATATTTATTACCTTTTTTACTTTGAAATTGATTTAGAGCCATCATGAAAATTTCCATTGTCGAAGTGCTTTTGAGACAAAGATTTCAGGGGAGGTTTTATTTTGTTTTCATGAAGCCCTGGCCTTATAGAAATCTCATCCTAAAAAGGATAGATTTTATTGTTGGAAAATTGTGGTATGCGCTCTGGGACTAGGGGATGCATTCCTACATTTGCGTCCCCAATGGCATAAAAAATCCATCGTGGTCCCTCCAATAGAAAGATAAAAGAGATGGCCCAAATGTTTTCTTCATAAAATTTAAATTTTTCAAACGTATTTTTTTTACATATCCATAATCTCTATGTTACAAATTTCTTAAGAATTAGATCCAAAATTCATTTAAAAAATATACTTTCAAGAGGAGACTCCTTTCTGCATGAGTCGGAGGACTCGTAAAAACAGTGCTTGGTTTTTACAAGAGAGAGAGAGTGCGCGTTTTATTGCAGAGAGAAAGGGAAAGGCGCAAATGGACTTTACAATGATTGAGTCTGAGAAATGCTTATCAAGAGAGAGAAAGGGGCATTGGAGTAATAAGAGGGTCCCAAATCATACGTAATAATATTTTTCACCAAGCAAAACCACCATAATTTTAGAGAGAGAGAGAGGGAGAGGTCATTTAGTGAGAGAGAGGGGGGTCATTTTAGAGAGACAGAGACGTCATTCACCAAGCAAAGCCACATAATTTTAGAGAGAGAGTGAGATGTGGGTCATTTAGAGAGAGGGGTCATTTTAGAGAGAGAGAGACGTCATATGGTGTAGAGACGACAAAATATTAATGAAAGATGTGCGTGGGTGCGGCGGCACATAGCGGGTTTTCCATTGCACGCCCCATCACTTCAAAAAAGCCCCTTCCCCTCTCAAGTTGGTGGAGGTACCATGAGCGTACAATCCCACTAACCCTGCGTCATCTTTCCTCTCTCTACTTTCTCTCTCTTATTTTCTCTCTCTTTCTCCTCCTAATGAAGGGCTTGGGCTACGAAATGCGGTGACTTGAGGGCTAGGTCAAGGCCAGGCAGCTATAGCATGAAGGTAGGATCGGGCCGGGTTTGAGTTATAGCCCGCTACGATTGAGCTAAGCTTTACTTTTTTTTTTCTTTTTTTTTTACTCTTCTGATAGGGTTAGGGCTTTTTTGGCGTTCAAGTTAGGCCAAGCGCTGCATATGGATTAAGGTCAAGCTAAGGCCAAAGCAGCTCGAGCTGAGCGCCATGGCCCCGCCTGCCTCTTTTTCTATGTTTTCCCTCTCTTTCTCTGTCTAATATGTTGCCTTCCATCCAGTATGTTCTTTATTCTCTCTCTCTCTATGTTTATGTCTTTCAGGAGTGGAGAAGTAAAGAGATTGGTGGGTAAAGGATAAGTTCATCATAGTCGTCATCATTTTCTTTGGTTACAATCCACCTTTTATTCTTTATTTTACATGTTTCTTACCGATCGATCCCGCGCATCTTACTTACGTTCGATGTTCATTAAATATTCTCAACCGTTCTCCTCCACTTCATATTATTTATTTTTTAATGTTCTCACCCCATATAGCATAGCATGGGGGTGCGGTTTGTATAGAGCCGAGGATCTAAATAATCAAAATAGAGCGCACCTTCAAATAGTATCGAGAAATGTGATTTTAACACAAGAAATCTCTATGATAACTTTAAAATATATTTTCATCTTTAATTACAAAATTTAAACCTTAAAAAATAATAATGTATAAAAACTTGTAAATTTTGCGCATGACGCGTAAAAACGGTGCCCTTTCCTAATTGATAAGTGTTCATCAATATTTAAATGAAGCTGTTCATGTCAATTTTCGCGTGCGGAAGGGCACCCACACATGAAACTCTTGGAATTGACAAACAAAATCTCAATATATATTTTTGAACAGTTGCAACATCCCAATAATTAACACCTTGCTTAGGTAAGCTCAATAATTAACTCCTAAACAAAGCATATTAAGTGGGTCAGACACAGAATAAAGTAAAAAATATATATTTGGATATCAAGTGGGATAGAGAAAGAACATAAACATAGTAAAAAAATATGTGGATGTCAAGTGGGCTAGAGAGAGGGAGAACAAAGTAGGAATAATATTTGGAAATCAAGTGGGCTACACAGAGGGACCAAAGTAGGGAAAATATTTGGAAATCAAGTGGGCTAGAGAGAGAGAGAGAGAGAGAGAGGAAACGAAAAGTAGGTAGTTGGTCGATTAGGGCGTAGAGAGAGAGAGAGGGGTTACTTGAAGTAAATAAACAGGGGTGTTACTATTATACCATAGGAAAAAAAAATTTATATAAAGCTCTAAACAATTAAATTAAAGCACACCTCAAAAATTATATAAGAAGAGGCTGTTTTGATGCCAAATATCCTCAAATTGATCATCTCGACAATGATTCATTCACCTCTTAAAACTCTATTTTTGAGATGGATTTTTTAACCTAATTTGTAAGGACATGTGATCTCTAACAAGACAGTCGTGAATATGAAGAAATAAATCAATTTTGAAAATAAAAAGTAATAATTCTATTAAAAAAACATTTGGACCGTTAGTTTCAATTAATTTTTAGATGGACTACCTATTTGCATCTTTTCTTAAGACGGATTCTTTATACCTCGGGGATGCAAATGTAGAAATGCGGTCTCTAGGGCATGAAACAAATTTTCATTAGGAAAAACTTACAAATAGACCATTTGCTTTTACTACAAGGAGATCGCAATGACTTTTGTCTTTCAAATTTC